CGCCGCCGGCCCGCGCCGGCCGCTCAACCTGGACTCCGCTCTGGCCGCGCTGCGCAAGGAGATGGTGAGTCGGTGGGGGCCTCTGCGCGAGGGGCTGCGGCTGCGGCTGGGCGGAGCGCAGAGGCGCGGGCCTGGGATGGGGGCCTAGGTCTCGAGGCGGTTGAGTCCAGCAATTAGAAACAGCAGCGCATGGCAGGACTTAACGGGTATGTTTTCATGTGTTACTCATGTTCATCTCATCCTACTGGGTGGGTGTGTTACCCCATTTCCCAGGTGAGGAAGGCACAGGGACTAAAGTTTCTCATCTTGCAGCTGTTTTTTGTTGTCCCAAAAACTTGCACTTAGGAAGGTGCAGGAAAATTGACTAGAGTTGTGGCCTGGGTTGGGGGCCTTGGATTGCAGAAGGGAGGGCTCAGGGTGGCCTGGACCCCAGCTCCAACCCACTGTCAGTTGCCTGCAGGTGGGTCTGCGGCAGCTGGACATGTCCCTGCTGTGCCAGTTGTGGGGCTTGTACGAGTCAATCCAGGACTACAAGCATCTGTGCCAAGACCTGAGTTTATGCCAAGACCTGTCGTCCTCCCTGCACTCGGACAGCTCTTACCCACCCGACGCCGGCCTGTCCGATGATGATGAGCCGCCTGATGCCAACCTGCCCCCAGACCCACCACCCCTCACTGTACCCCAGACACACAATGCCCGGGACCAGTGGCTGCAGGACGCCTTCCACATCAGCCTCTGAAGATCTGGAGTCGGTGGGGATGCAATGCACCCAAGCAAAAGGCTCAAAACTCACCCTTTCCGCAATCCTCAGACGACAGTGCCTGCTCTTCCACCGGTACCACCTCACCTTACCTCTCAGGAGGGCAAGGCGTGTGCTCCTCAGGCAAAACTGGCAGCCCCCCTCCTGCTTAGCGGGCACTGGGTGGGCTCCTAGGTTGCACCTCTGCCATGGCCCTGGGCCTCCACTTCTCCCACACACGAGCACCCCCAGCTTGGCCAACCCTCAATCGGGCAGTGGGGCCCACGGCATCTTGCATCTCCTTGGCGTCTCTGGGCCTGGGATGAGTGCCGGGCTCCCATCTGTTCTTCACCTTTTGCTGCTCTTGGCAGCTCCTGGCTCAGGGGCATCCCACCTCCCTCCCTGGGTTCCAGCGTCCTGGATGAGGACTCCAGGACTCACCCCTGTACCCAGCCACGGCGGTAAAAGGCTAGGGCCCCATCCTGGATATTTAAATTTAGGGGCCAGCCTTCTGGGCGCGAAAATAAATGTTCTCTTGGCATTGTGTTCTGACTGCCTTATTCTGGGGGCGGGAATACAATATAGATAGCGGTTTCTGGCAAGTGCGGGCCGCGCTCCGCCGGCAGGTGGCGCCCGCGACCCCGCCGAGTAAAAGCCCTTAACCCCGGGCGGGATGTGAACTCTCCCGGGGCGGGCCTGGGAGCGTTCCCGGGTGGCCGAGCCTGGCTCCGCAGCTGTGTGACTGCGGTCGAGTCACTTCCCCTCTCGGACAGGCGGCCTGGGAGCCCAGCCCCCTTCCTACTGGCTTTGGGCTTTTCTGGCCGGCCGGGAAGGAAGGAGAAGGAGCCGCCCATCTTGAGGAGCGAAACTTTCCACCTCGAGTGGGGGCGGAGTTGGGGCGGCACAGGAAATGGGTGGGCCGTCAGACTGAGGGGCCCCTCGGCGGGAGAGGGGGAGGCGCCTCCAGGAAGGGCCGGGGACCTAGGTCCTAGGGATGGAGGGAAAGAGCTCCCCAAGGGCCAAGCGAGCCTGGAAAGGGAGACGGCGCACGGCCGAGCTTGGGTGCTGGAGACTCAGTGGCGGCGCGCAGTGATTGGGGTCCCTGACCCCCCATCGCGCACTTGAGTCTCACATCGGCCGCCCTGGCCCCCCGCCCCCCGCTTGTATGTAAAGGGCTCCCTTCTTCAGAGGAGACGTTTCCAAGGACCACACCACTGGGACTAGGAGTCAAACTGGGTGTCAAGGTGGCCAGGAGACACCTGCAAGTTCACGAGGTTGCACACTCAGGCACACAGGCAGCGTCTGCCCTGCCCTGCCCTGCAGTAAGTTACCTGTCTCCTGGAGATGTTACCCAACTGGCATTCCTGGCACACCAGGGTCCCGTTCAAATCCAGTACAGGTACTTAGCGAGCACAGGATTAAGGTGTATTGACAAAGCTTGCAGAGCGCAGTCTGGGAGGGAAGGAGCTGAAGTGTTGCCCCGGGATAGTTGTCTGACTCGGCCTGACACCTGCAGACGTTCATTACCCTGTGCAGCGGGTGGGTAGGCGATAAGGCTCTAATCTAGGTGTTAAAGCAGCAGCCAACACCCGCCCAGCTAGGCTTCCGGGGCAGCAGAGTAAACAGATACGCGTGCTCGAAAACTTTAAGGGACTTCTTGTACGGAGGCCGGCAAAATCAGCCAGATTTGTGCTTTCTCTCAATGACGACTCTATAAAGGACGGGACTATAATTATCCCCATTTAGCAGTCCTTAAAACTAAGGCTCAGAACATCCATGATTGGAAGTCAGGATTTGGGACTGTCTTCTCTCTTGATAGCTGAGGAGTCAAATTATGAAAGCGGGGGGGGGGGGGATGGCTGTTGCCACAGGTAGGGCCGTCGAGGTGGTCCCTGACTCTGCTTTCTGCTGATGCAGATGTGGGTGGCAGCGAAAGTCCGCTGCCCTTGTTGAGGACACTTGGCTCGGGCAGACGCTCTGGAGGACCCTAAGCAAGTCCCTTCCCCTCTCTTAGTCTCACTTGTCCTAGCCTGTGCAATGGGGTCACGAGTATGAAAGGGCTGTGGACAGGAAGGGAGGCGGCCCGGGTAGCCCTCTCCAGGGCGGCGCCAAGCTACCGGTCGCCTGCTCTCGCTTGCCCGCTCTCAGGGCCTGCGAGCCCCGCCCCCGCCTCGAGCGCCCGGCGGGCTGCGGGTGCACGGAGCTGGCCCCGGGGCGCTGGTCCCAGCGGGAGGCCCCGG